CATGTGGGATCTTTTTCGTTGTGGTGCATGGGCTCTTTGCTGCAGCACTCGGGCTTCCCTCTAGTTGTGGCCTGCAGGTTTTCTCTCTAGTTGTGGCACGCAAGCTCCAAGGTACATGGGCACTGTAGTTTGCAGCACTGTGGGCTCTCTTGTTGAGGCGCGCGGGCCTAGTTGCCCTGCGGCCTGTGGGATCTTACTTCCCCAACCAGGGATGGAACCTGCGTCCCCTGCATTGGAAGGTGGATTCTTTACCACTGGACCACCGAGGAAGTCCCTATAGTTGGATTTTTTAAATCTGAATGACAATCTCTGCCTTTTAATTGGGGTGTTTAGACCATCTACATTTAATGAGATTATTGATATAGCTGAGTTAAAAATTACCCTTTGCTATTGTTTTCTACTGGTTCCATCTGTTCTTTTATTTATTTATTTATTTACTGGGCGGTGCTGGGTTTTAGCTGCAGCACGTGGGATCTTCGTTGCCACGTCCGGGATCTCTATTGTGGCATGCAGGATCTTTAGTTGCAGCATGTGGGATCTTTAGTTGTAGCATGCAGGATCTTTAGTTGTGGTATGTGGGATCTCTTAGCTGTGGCATGCAGGATCTAGTTCCCTGACCACAGATCAAACTGGGGCCCCCTGCACTGGGAGCGTGGAATCAACCACTGGACCACCAGGGAAGTCCCTGTTCTTTATTTTCCTTTTCTTCTTTTTTTGCCTCCTTTCTGATTGCATATTTTTTAGAATTCCATTGTATCTCCTTTATTATCTTATTAACTATAACTTGATATTTAGTGCTTACTTTAGGGTTTACAGCATATATACACCTACAACTTATTACAATCTACTTTCAGATGATACTGTACCACTTCACATATAGTATAAGAACCTTCCACAGTACATTTCCATTTCCCCCTGCCAACCTTTATTTTTGTCACACATTTGAGCCAAACAACTATAATTTGTACAGTTTTCAGTATGTGTATCTACATGTGTTATAAAATCCCATGACATATTGCCATTATTTTTGTTTCTTCAGTTACCTTTTCAATAAATTTAAGTACTAAGGCCCTATCTCATACATTCACTGAGGTAGTTACCCTTTCTAGTGGTCCTCACGGCTTTGAGTGGATCCATATTCACAGCTGGCATCCCTTTCCTTCTATTGGTAGGGCTTCCATTAACACTTCTCATAGTGTGAGTCTGCTGGTGATTGGTTCTTTCAGCTTTTGTATGTCTGGAAAGGTATGTCTTTATTTTGCCTTCAGTTATGAACGATATATGCACTGGGTATAGAACTCAAGGTTGACAAGATTTTTTTCCCCCTTCAGTACCATTAAAGATGCCCTCCACTGTCTCCTCACTTGCATTGTTTCCAGCAGGAAATCTGCCATAGTCCTTATCTTTGTTCTTCTGTCTGTAACATGTCTTTTTTTCCTCTGGCTGCTCTTATGATTTTCTCTTTATCACTGGCTCGGAGAAATTTTATCAAATTGTGCTTTAGCCTGATTTTTCTTCCTGCTTCTTGTTGAAATTTGGTGTTTGTTGAGTTTTAGGAATGTGGTTTATACTTTTCATCAAATTTGGAAACCTTAAGGTTATTATTTCTTCAAATATATATATTTTTCTGTTTCCTTTTTTTGTTACATAAATTTATTTATTTTCAGCTGCATTGGGTCTTCGTTGTGGTGTGTGGGCTTCTCATTGCGGTGGCTTCTCTTGCAGCGGAGCACGGGCTCTAGGCGCACAGGCTTCAGGAGTTGTGGTGCACGGGCTCAGTAGTTGTGGTTCACGGGCTCTAGGGCGCAGGCTCAGTAGTTGTGGCGCACAGGCTTGGTTGTTCCGCGGCATGTGGGATCTTCCCGGACCAGAGCTCGAACCCATATCCCCTGCATTGGCAGGCAGATTCTTAACCACAGCACCACCAGGGAAGTCCGTCCGTCCTTTCTTCTCTCCTTTGGAGACTCCAATTACATATATATGAGGCCTCTTGAAACTGTCCCACAGCTCATTGATCCTCTTTTCGTTTGGAGGAATTCCTTTTTCTCTGTGTGGTTTTATTTGGAGTAGTTTCTATTGTTAAGCCTTCAAATTCACTCATCTTTACCTCTGTTGTGTCTAATCTGACATTAATCCCATCCATAGTTTTTTGTTTGTTTTTCATCTCAGACACTGTCATTTTTACCTCTAGAATTTGTTTGTTATACCTTCCGTGTCTCTATTCAATTTTTCAAGCATCTGGAATATAGTTATAACAGCTGTTTAAATGTCTTTTATGCTAATTCTAATATCCCCATCCGTTCTGGGTTTGTCTTGGTTAGTTGAGTTTCTCATTATGGTCATATCTCTATGCATCTTTGTATGTCTGGTAATATTTAATTGGATGCCAGACAATGTACATTTTGCCTTGTTAGGAGCTGTATATTTTGTATCTCTATATGTATTCTTGAAATTTGTTTTGGGATACAGTTATATTACTTGGAAAGTTTTATCCTTTGGGTCTTGCTTTAAGATTGGTGAGGCTGTACCAGAGCGGCATTTACTCTAGGACTAATTATTCCTCTGAGGCAAGATCCTTCTAAGTGCCCTACCCAGTGCCACATGGACTGTGAGGTCTCCTGCTTGGGCTGGTGGGAAAAGGCTAGGCACTGCTTCCTTCCCTCCTGACAGATGGCTCTGTCCCCAACCTTGAGACATTCCATCACACACATGAGCCATTGAGTACTCACCTGAATCCCCAAAGGGGTCCCTACACACCTCTGGAATGCTCTTTATCTCTTTTTAAAATTTATTTTATTGGAGTATAGTTGATTTACAATGTTGTGTTAGTTTCAGGTGTATAGCAAAGTACATCAGTTATATATATACCCGCTCTTTTCTAGATTCTTTTTCCATATAGTCCATTACAGAGTATTGAGTAGAGTACCCTGGGCTATACAGCAGGTCCTTATTAGTTATCTATTTTATATATAGTAGTGGGTATATGTCCATCCCAATCTCCCACTTTATCCCTCCCCCCATTTCCCCGCTGGTAACCATAAGTTCGTTGTATACATCTGTGACTCTATTTCTGCTTTGTAAATAAGTTCATTTGTACTATTGTTTTAGATTCCACATATAAGCAATATCATATATTTGTCTTTCTCTGTCTGACTTACTTCACTCAGTGTGACAATCTCTAGTTCCACCCGTATTGCTGCAAATGGCATTATTTCTGAAACGCTGTTTCCCTTTGCAGCTCTCTTCTCTCTGCCACTTGCAGTCTGACTGCCTTGGAATCCCTGGACTCTGAACCCTGTCTCCTTAACTCAGGGAATTGACCAGGCTCTGCCTGGATACCCCGCTCCTGCACCACAGCCTGGAAGTGCTCTCAAGGTGGTTAGCTGGGCAATCAAAGAGCTCACGTAGTTTATTTCCAGCCTCTTGGGGATCACTGATTATTCCCTGATGCCCAGTGTCTTGAAAACCATTGTTTCATATTTTCTGTCTGGGTTTCCTTGTCCTATTTCAGGTGGAAGGATAAATCAGGTTGCATTTACTCCATCCTAGAAGCAGAAATCTCTGTTCATTTTTTTTCAACCTTCTTTCTGTGTTTCATTTTGGGTAATTTCTATGTCTTTTAATTAACTAATTTTTCTTTCAATGTCTAATCAGCCATTAATCACATCCAGTGTGTTTTTCGCCTCCAACATTGCAGTTTTCAGAAGTTTAGGAGTATGTACATAAAAACAGAGACAGATGGATGTGCAGGTGTGCTGTGTGAGATACAGCTGTAAGTTTAATGCCCTTGTCCACTTATGCTGCACCATTTCTGAGTCAGCGTTGATTGATTTTGCTCTTCACTATGGGTTATATTTTCGTGTTTCCTTGCATGACTGGTAATTTTATTACACTTTTATTTGCAAACTATTACAGACTTACAGGAATTTGCATGTACCCTTAACGAGTTTTCCCCAATGATGGCATCTTATACAACTATAGTGCAATATACAAAGCAGGATATGGACATAGTACAATCCACAGACCCCACTTACTTTCAACAGTTTTACATGTATCCCTTTGTACGTCTACAGTTACATGCAGTTTTATCATACGTGTAGATTTGTGTACCCACCACCACAGTCAGGAGGCGACCTGTCCCATCACCACAACGCTCCTCTGTGTCACCACTTCTAGTCACATCACCTCTCTCCCCTTTCCTTCCCTGCCCCTATTCCCACCCCGCAAAGCACTGATCTGGCCTCCGTCTCCATAATTTCGTCATTTTGAAAATGTTATGTGAATGGAATGACAGTATGTAACCCTGTGAGATGCGCTCTTTTTTCACTTGGCAAAAGGCCCTTGAGACCCGTCCAGCTGTTGCTGTATCACTAGTTCCTTCCTTCTCACAGCTGAGGAGTGTTCTGCGGTGTGGACTGGTCTGAGTTGGCTTAATCTTTCACCTACTGAAGAACATCTAGGTTGCGTCCAGTTTGGGGCTGTTACAAGTAAAGCTGCTGTGAACATGCATGTGCACACTTTTGTGTGGACACAGTCCTCATTTTACTGGAATAGAATGCCCAGCAGCGTGTGCTGAGTCCCACGGGAAATGTATGTTCAGTTTCTTAAGACACAGCCCCACTGTGTTCCAGGGCAGCTGCCCCCCTTTACGTTCCCACGAGCACTGGGTGAGATCCAGCTTCTCTGCGCCCTGTGCCCCCGCTGGTTCCCGTTTCGGCATTTCTTCCAGGTGCGATGGTGTTGGACAGCTTGTGTTTATTTGGCATCATTATATCCTCTTCAGTGAAATGGGGCTCACTTTATAACTGGATCGTACCACTTACCATTGAGGTGTTTTGGTTTTTTTTTTTGTGGTACGCGGGCCTCTCACTGCTGTGGCCTCTCCCGTTGCGGAGCACAGGCTCCGGACGCGCAGGCTCAGCGGCCATGGCTCACGGGCCCAGCCGCTCCGTGGCATGTGGGATCTTCCCGGACCGGGGCACGAACCCGTGTCCCCTGCATCGGCAAGTGGACTCTCAACCACTGCGCCACCAGGGAAGCCCACCATTGAGTTTTGAGAGTTGTTTGTATGTTATAAATATGGGTCCTCTGTCAGATATGTGGTCTGCAAGGATTTTCTCCCTCTCTGTGGCTTGTCTTTTCATCCTGTTAACAGGGGCTTCAGCAGAGCAAAAGTTTTACATTTTTAGGAAGTTCAATTTGTTGGTTTATTTTTTTCTTTTATCGATTGATTGTGCTTTTTGTCTAAGAACCCTTTACCAAGCCATAGGTCCCAAAGATTTTCTCCTGTGTTCTTCTAAAGGTTTTACAGTTTACATTTAAATACTAATCCATTTTGAGTTCATTTTATATAGGGTGTGAGGTTTAGGTGAAGGTTCATTCCTTCGCTTGTGGACGTCCAATTGCTCCAGCACCAGACTGTCCCTCCTGCAGCCAGTGGCCTCCCGCCCCCCCCCAGGGTGCTGCTCGTCTCAGTGCCCCCTGCCCCACCCTCAGGCACCGGCGGGCTGGACATCCTCCTCAGCACCCCTCAGAAGGCCGCCTGCATGCTTCTCTAGCCTTCATGCCCTGTGCCCACCGCCCGGGCCTGCCCCAACACGACCCGCGGAGAGGTGGGCCTCCCTGTGCCCCTCCTCGCTCCAGCCCCTCTGAGGCCATGGCCAGGCCCTTCGGTCCTCCTAGCCTCACATTTTGCTCCTTTGAGGAGGAAGCAGGAGGAGTTTGAAGCCAGAGGCTCTGCTGGTCTTTTCAAGCTTGGCCTGTTGCTTATTAAAGAGGAGAAGCCAAGAAGAGCAGAGGGGATGCCTTCCAGCACAAGGGGGAGCCTGGAGCAGCACCCTGAGGAGGCAGCTGGGGGTGAAGGTGGCGCCCAGGACACGGGGTCCCCAGGTGGCAAAGGCCCTGGCACCCCACGGGTGGAAGCAGGGGCTCAGCAGCAGACCCGGGCCAGTCCCACATTTTCCAGCCAACACCTCGGCTCTACAGACTGGGGTGGAAGGACACACGGCTGAGATGGGCGAGGGCCCGAGATTCCAGTCAGACTCATTTGAAGAAATTAAGGCCGTGGCATTAGGTGATCTGGCTTCACGGCTGCTCCCACAGGCCCTGGGTCAGCCTCATCTGACCTGGCCTCCTGGGCCGGGGAGAAGTCCAGGCACCCGTGTCCCCAGCCTGGCCCAGGGGACAGGCCCCTTGACAAAGGCCCCTTGACATCGTTCCCGGGCGCCACGAAGGAGCTGCCAGGCTGAGCTGCCTTGGGCAGGGTCATGGCTCCAAGCCCCAGGGCTCAATTTTCTCAGAGACGTGGAAATTCTGAGTGAGGGGCCAGGTGGGCGGTCCTAGCGCTGCCCTCAGTGCCCCAGAGCTCCCGCGCTGGCTCCCGAGGAGCCAGTCTGTTTCTCCACCTCCCATGGTAACACTGCTTCCAAGGTGGGCTGAGGGTCCAGGGACGTGAGTAGAACCCCGGCCACAGGAGGCCCCAAGAAACCGGGAGCTGTGGTCTTGATCGCGTGTGCCCGGTAAGGCTCATAGCGAGTACTTTGGGAGGGGAAGGGCCTGCAAAGGCTCTGGGTCCTGGAAGGTTCGGCACCAGCCGGGGCGGGGCCCCCAGGCTCCTGACAGCTTTGCGGGTGGGGGAGCAAGCGCACCGGGAGCTTCTGCCCACGCCGGCGCACCTGCTCGGGGGTGCGTCCGTCGTCCGCATACACCCGGGGGTCAGCTACGAGCTTCACAAGCACCTCCACGGCTTCCAGGTGGCCCCCGAAGGCCGCTCGGTACAGCGGCGTCCGGCCGAAGGCGCCCTGCTGGACGCGCTCACTGAGCACGGCCCGCCCGGACGAGGCGCGGCCCCCAGTCCTCGCCCGGCGCCCACCTTGAGGTTGCGACTGGCGCCCTGCTCGGCTAGCAGCTGGATGGCCAGGGACTGCCCGCCCGCCGTCGCTGTCCTCGAAGTCCACCAGGGCCAGACGCCGCTGCAGCCGCCGCGCCGCCCGCGCCGCGTCGCAGCTCACGCCCTCGCGGTTCAGCAGCGCGTCCACCTGCGCCGGGCGGCGGTCAGCGGCGCCGCGAGCTCAGGGCCCGCCGCCCCGCCGCCCACCTCCCGCAGGACCGCCTGGATTTCGCCCAGGTTCCCGTCGAAGGCCGCCTCCAGCAGGCGCGCCCCGCGCTGCCGCTCCTCCTGCCGCCGCCGCTCGGCCGCCGCCGCTTTTTCCCACTGCCGCCGGGCCGCCTCCGGCTCCCGCCGCAACAGGGCCACGAAGGCCTGCGGGCGGCCCAGTGCGGTCACCGCCCCAGCCCTGGGCCCCCAACCCTGGGTCCGGGCCCCGTAGCCCTGCAGTTTCCGCCCCCAGGCCCTCCTTCCGCCCCCCCAGCCCTGCGTCCCCCCAACCTAACCCTGCGTCCCCGCCCCCAGCCCTGCGTCCCCGCCCAAAGCCCTGCAGTTCCCGCCCCCGAGCCCTGCAGTTTCCGCCCCCAGCCCCGCGTCCCCGCCTCCAGCCCTGCAGTCATGCCCCACTCCGACACCCACCCCCGTAGACCTCACCTGCCTCTGCAGCTTCTCCATCAGCTCCAGGTAGTCCTGGTGGTCCTGCTCACGGCAGGCCTGCTCCTTTCTCGCCAGGAGCTTACAGGAAGGCTCACTGGCTGGTGGTGGCTGCTTGGTCCTCCGCGGTTGGCCCTGCTAGTGGGGAGAGGGCTATGGATCACAGTGCTCCGCTCCACGCTGCGGTCCACGCGGCTGCAGGACCAACACCAGGTGTGCCCGAGCTCCAGGTTAACAAGGCGAGCGGAGCAAGCGCACTCCCTCCTGACCTGACGAAAGGATCAAAAATGTTCTAAAATCCACAAACACAACTAAACCAGAGTAATCCACCGGCTGGGCTGAAGTGGGGGTGTCTCAACCCACAAGCCCACTGGAACTCAGAATAGGGAGCCCAAGGCCCCTGAGAGCTGTGATCCGCTGGCGGCACACTCTGCCTCGCCCCAGCAGCGCCCTTGGCTACAGGGAGGGTCTGAACGCCTGCCCTAGGAGAGACGTCCACACCCACCTGCCACCCTCTGCCCATGTGATGAGGCGACCAGTTAGCCTCTCCGGGCCTCAGTGTCCCTTTCTCTAAAATGGGGTGATGGTAGCTACACCCCACAGGGCTTTCCAACAGTCCAATAATAGGACACTGTGAGTCCTGAAAGTAACTGCTCAACCTATGTTTCCATAATTGAGACTCCAAGCAGAGGAGAGCCAGACCCAGGGGCCATGCTCACTGTGAAAGAACTGGCAGGTGAGAAGGTGCGGACGTGCCACAGGGAAGGGATGACACGGCTTTCAGAAGACGCTGGAAGAAAACAAGCAGAAAAGCCAGCTCTCCAAAAGCACCGCAAGCTAGGGAGGAACTTAATAAAAACAGAAATCCAATAAAACAAGGGATCAAAGACAAGATGGGAAAAACAGAATGAGGAGGTAAAAGAGTCATCACAGAAAAGAAGACAAATGGAAAACAATAGTTAGCTCTGCAGACCAACAACTAACACAGGACCAGATGAAAACAGAGCCGATGTGGTGCAGAGTGGAGCTCGGGGCAGGAGAGAAGGGTTTGGGAGGGTCACGGTGAATGCTAGCAAGGGGGCGGAAACCGGAAGGAGGAGACACAGAAGATGACAATAAAACGTGACAATAATTAGTGTCTCTAGAATGCGGATACTTGTGATGGGGAAAGTATTTAGAGATAAAATACAAAAAACTTTCCTGAAATGAATCTTAAGACAAAAGGGACAAAGAACATACCAGGAAACAAAACAACTGGCAGGTTGTTTTTAAGGTTGCTGACTCTTAAAAAAAAAAAAAAATGTCATTGGGATTTCCCTGGTGGTCCAGTAGTTAAGACTCCGTGCTCCCAATGCAGGGGGCCCGGGTTCGATCCCTGGTCGTGGGACTATATCCGGCATGCCACAACTAAGAAGCCGCTTGCCACAACTAAAAAAGATCCCACATGCGGAAACGAAGATCTCACTTGCAGCAATGAAGATCCCGCGTGCTGCAGCTGAGACCCGGCACAGCCAAATAAATAAATAAATATTTGATATATATATAAAGTTACTCGAGGACCCAAGCAGAAAAGAAATCAAACTACGCTCTCCTAGGACTTATTTTTTTTTAAATAAATTTATTTATTTATTTGCTGTGTGGGGTCTTCCTCACTGCGCGCGGGCTTTCTCTAGTTGTGGTGAGCGGGGGGCTACTCTTCGTTGTGGCGCGCGGGCTTCTCATTGTGGTGGCTTCTCTTATTGTGGAGCACGGACTCTAGGCATGCGGGCTTCAGTAGCTGTGGCACACAGGCTCAGTAGTTGTGGCTCACAGGCTCTAGAGCGCAGGCTCAGTAGTTGTGGTGCACAGGCTTAGTTGCTCCGTGGCATGTGGGATCTTCCTGGACCAGGGCTGGAACCTGTGTCCCCTGCATTGGCAGGTGGATTCTTAACAACTGCACCACCAGGGAAGTCCCTCTCCTAGGACTTTTTATAGCAGCATCAAATGTAGAAGTCAATGAATCAGTATTCACAGAATTCCAAAGGGAAAAGAGTAGCTCTAGAAGCTCCTGCACGTGGTTCTGCTTCTGCCATGTCAATGAAGGAGGTTAGGACCAGTCTTCCCAATGACAGCAACAGAAGAGACAGACAGAATGAATATGCTGTAAAACGTGTCTGAAGGCACTGCAAAGACGAAGGAGGTGAGCTCAGAGCAGGAGAGCGCAGGTGTGGCCCCAGACCAGCAGACAGGCTTCCCCTGGCAGCAGCCACCAGCACCAGAAGCATAGCACCAGGGGGAGGGCAGGGGCACAATGTGAGCAGGGCTTCTGCAGGTCTCAGCAATAAGGGGACAAAATCTGTATTCCAGAGCACCGGGTAAGGGCTTAGGGTCGCCAGGTTTAGCTAATAAAAATACAGAACATAATCCTGAGGACATACAGTAAGAAAGGATTTATTGTTTATCTGAAATTCAAATTTAAATGAGTGTCCTGTATTTTATCTGGCAATTCTATTGAGTAAGAATCCTGAAGAACTCCATCCTTTGGGAAATAAAGCAATGCGCGTGGGAACGGAATCCTCAGCTTCAAATCACTCAACCCCCGGACTAGATTAAGGTAATCTGAGTTGCCTCTAGCCTTGGTGCCTACCAGAAACTAAATAAGTCTTCTCTGGAGGAAGATGTCATTGTCCAGGACTTTGGCACACCTCCAACGTTTTTAATAGGCAATGTACAGCAACCAAAACATATCAGGCTAATGAGGAACCAAGATATGAGTGAAAAACAAGAAAAATGATGACCAATAAAAACAGACCCGGATGCAGCCAATAATGGAGTTCTTGGACATAGACTTTAAAATAATTATGAGTGATATATTCAAGGAATTAAAAGACAAGACTGAAAAGTTTGGGCAGAGAACTGGAAACAATAATAAAGAACCAAATGGAAATTCTAGAATGTAAAAATACAAAACATAAATTGAGAGCTCAATGGCTAAGTTTAACAGCATAATAGACATAGCTGGAAATAGAATTAGTAACCTGGAATACAGTACAAATGAAAATATTCAGATTAAAGACAGAGAGACAAAAGGAAAGGTCTGACGCTGATGTCATGGGAGTTGCAGGCATGAGGGAAGGAGAGGATGGTAGCAGCGCTCAAAGAGAATTTTTCAAAACAAACAAGAGATCAAGTCAGAGCTTTGATATGCATGAAGAATCCCAAGCAGGATGAGTACAAAAACAAGCAAGCGCACACAAACACCAGAGCACACCGTAGTATAATTGCCAAAACCTAATGAAATGAGAACAATCTTCTTTACCCCTTCAAAGGGGTAAAAAAACAGTTTTTAATGCAAAATAAACACACCTTTGGACAAACAGAACTTTAGGAGGGTTCAGTAGCAGCAGACTAACAATGAAGAGAAAGACAAAAGAGAAAGAAAAAAGGCAGAAGAGACAAAGCCAAATGGGACATGGAGGTGCAGGTAGGGAGGGTGCATTGGAAAGAATACACATAAGAGCTGTGCAAGGGCTTCCGTGGTGGCGCAGTGGTTGAGAGTCTGCCTGCCGATGCAGGGGACACAGGTTTGCACCCCGGTCCGGGAAGATCCCACATGCCACGGAGCAGCTAGGCCTCTGAGCCATGGCCGCTGAGCCTGCATGTCCAGAGCCTGTGCTCCGCAACGGGAGAGGCCACAACAGTGAGAGGCCCATGTACCGCAAAAAAAAAAAAAAAAAAAAGAGTTGTGCAAAACAGTAGCACCAACATCACAGATATACGAGAGCTAAAACACACACAAAATAATAGCATATGTATTGGAAGAGGGTAAGTGTAGTTAAAAGGGCTAAGATTCTTGCATTGTCAGAAAAGTAGAGTGTTATAGTAGACTTGAGAATTTGAAGATATATTGTAAACTCTAGGGTAACTACTAAAGATTAGTAAGAGAACGTTGTGGCAGACACACGCTAAGATGATGCCCTGTGGCTTATGCCTGTGTGAGCCCTCTCCTTGCGTGTGGGTAGGATCTGTGAAGTAGCTTTAATCAGGCAAAGGTGATAGGCTGTCACTCCCATGGTTATGTTACATTCTGGAAGATTCCATCTTAGCAGACTGACTCTCCTGCTGGCCTTAAAGAAGCAAATGGCTGTGTTGAGAGCTGGCTGCAGAGGGGCCATGTTATGGGGAGCTGTGGGCGGCCTCCAGGACTGGAGAGCACCTCCAGCCAATGGCCAGAGAGAAGCCAGGACTCAGTCCTCCAAGGAGACAGATACTGCCAACAACCCAAATGAACTTGGAGGTGGAGTCTTCCCCACTCAAGCCTCCAGTGAGACCACAGACCCAGCTGACACCTCAGCTGCAGCCTGTGAGGTCCTGAGGGGCACCAGGTGGGTCACCCTTAGATGCCCGACCCACGGAAACAGTGAGATAGTAAATATGTGTTGTTTTAAGGTGCTAAGTTTGTGGTAATTTGTTATGCAGCACAGAAAATACAAATTTATACCTAACTGCTAAGAGGAGAAAAAATGGGAATAATAAAACATTTTAACAGATTAAAAGAAGGCCAAGAAGGAGAGTAAAAAGGGACACCAAGTAAATTGAAAATTATGAAGTAAACACTAAGATGAGATTTAAACACACATATGTGATTGATTACATTACATGTATTGGGTTGGCCAAAAAGTCCGTTCCTCTGCAAAGCAATCAGTATGCAACACCACATTAACAAACTGAAGAATAAAGATCATATGCTCATCTCAATAATGCAGAAAAAGCTTTTGACTAAATTCAACATACATTTATGACAAAAAACTCTCCACAAAGTGGGTATAGAGGGAAGACACCTCGACATAATAAAGGCCATATATGATAAGCCCACATCATACTCAATGGTGAAAAATTGAAAGTGTTTCCTCTAAGATCAGGATGAAGACAAGGATGCCCACTGTCACCACTTCTGTTCAACATAGTTTTGGAAGTCCTAGCCACAGTAATCAGATAAGAAAAAGAAACAAACGGAATCTAAATTGGAAAGGAAGAACTGTCACTATTTGCAGATGACATGGTAATGTATGACTTTAGGATAGAAAATCCTAAAGATGCCACTAGAAAACTACTAGAGCTCATCATTGAATTTGGTAAAGTTGCAGGATATGAAATCA